GCACCGGGGGAGGTGTTTTGGGGGGAGTGGGGATGGGGCACCCCCGCAGCGGGGCTCCGGGGGTCAAACCCCTACCCCGGCTTTGCCCCCGGGGGCCCCCGCCTGACAACCCTGGTAGAGGCAAACCCCAACGACAATATAAAGTAAGATTTGCATATCAGGACCCAAGTGAAGATCGCTGGTTCACAAGAGAAGAATTGATTGAGTCTGCACCTCATATGGTATCTGCTTATGAAAGAGCTAGAAAAGGAATAAGCATCATAGATAGATGAAGGTTTTCTCAGAGGACTTCGAAACTAGGCCGGCGAGGGTAAAAGGGCCTTTACTTGTTCAGACCCTGAATGACGAATGCAGCATAATGGGGTCACTCGGCCAGAGCCGAACTCGTGAAAAACAGATCAAAAGAGTCTGACATGTTCTCTGGGTCAGAAGTCACATCCACACTAAGTGAGAAGTCATGCCAAAGGTCACATTTGTGCCCCAGGACGAACAGTTGCAGCATTCAATTGTGGGAGTCATACCTATTCGTCCAGGGGGCTGTACAAGTCATGTCTGTTCGTGCAGTGTGTCTGTTCGTGCAATAGATGTGTCCGTTCATTAAGAACTCAAAGAGATAAGGTCCCTGTCCAGATCCAAGTCAAAGAGGGAGTCTAGATGCAGACTGGAAGTCCAAATTCAGGCCTGAAGGCCACAGCAGCAGCAGACCCTGAGGGTAAGGTACTGGGACACATTCCACAGAGGTTTGGGACTGGAGACAGACCCAAGGAAGACTGATTCAGACCTCATGAAGGGAGGCCAGCACTATAAGAGACCAGGTCAGCCTCCCTACACGACAGATTCCCATTGGCATTGGTGCGTGGAAGTGTTGTTGCACTTGTGCGCTAGAGTGCAGGGAGAGAGCGCTGGCTTGGGAGCTGCGCCAGGAAGGAGAACTACTGGGCGCTGGCTGACAGAAGAGGCCATGGCAGCGCCAACTTTGTTAGTAGTAGAAGTGTTAGTAAGTAGTCTTCAGTGGGTAGCATTCAGAGTAGATTCTCGTAGGTAGGGAGTGTGCATGAATGGTGAGACGAGGGAACCAGGACAAAGATCTTGAGAGAAAAGAGAGAGAGAGAAGACAAGTTGCGAAGTTGGATATGGTGGATACTTACCTGTTGGCGCCATACTTGTGATCTGAGGATAGACGTTGGTTGAGCCAGGCCCTATATTGGTGATTGAACGAGGGAGATTTGTAATCTGTTGGCGCTGAACTCTTGAACTCGAGATACTCTTTGTATAATGTGATTTTGATAATATGAGTTGCGCTATCTGGTTCTCATCTCATCTCGACTTGGCTTTGTGTGAAGATTTTCTATCTGTGTGTTGGCATCTATGCTTGCAATGAGATACACTCCAGCAAGCTATGAACAGTCAGGTTCCTTGCAGCATTGTAAACTTTGGACTGGACTGGACTGCGAAACGGCAGTTTGAAATGCATTTACAAACTCAAACCATGATTCAGCTGCCTAGTTTTCTCATAAATAAATTAATGCTGATTAAAAGAAAAGCGAATACTAGGACAAAATATGAGCCTGGGCCTGAAAAGGTGGTTGTGGGCCTCCAACTTGCTCCAAGTTGTGCGGCCCGGGGGCTTAGAGAAGGAATGACGGGCCGAAAAGGGGGCCGTGTAGTAGCCACAGTATGCTACAGAAGAAAGAAAGAAAGAGAGAGTGCTGAGCAGCAGGAGCTGGGTTTCGACATGATTAATAAAGGAAAGAAAACAGCGGTGGCTGGCCCTGGGAAAGAGGGCAGGAGAAAGTATGTTGAGGAACTGACGGCGATCTTGTTCGTAAAATCCAAACACGAACTGGAGGAATTGTGCAAGAAAGACAAGATTAAGTACGTTAACAAGAAAATCACCAGTGTTGCGCTCTCTTGCCTGCGTGGCATTGAAGCTTATGGTGAGGAGGATGACGATGAGGAATCCGAGGAGGAAACCCAAGAGGAGAACCCTTCTTGATGATCTTTGGATGCTCCATCAGCTTGGGCTTGCCTGGAAAAAGTAAGGACGAGCAGACGGAAGGCTGGCTGGTGCGGGGAAGAAGCTCGTAGTTTGGATCACTACATGCGTTTTTTTATTCTGTTTCTTGCTCTTTCCCATCTCATTTCCTGGACAGAGAAGTATTCTGAGGAATGGCGTGCACTTTTGAGGGATGGTGCACAGTTGTGCGAATTCAATGGTCCATGCGTATAT